TGCACCCGGCGTACAAGACGACCTCCCCACTTGGAGGCATGTTTTTTTGGCCCAAAAAGTCATCTTGTACGCCGGCAAATACGGTAATACAAACTTATTTGGAGAAACAGAAAAGACAGACACTCTGATTTTAATCGCATTGCGTATTTTTTTTTTCTTTCTGCTTTGTCCGTTTTACCTGAGAGACAAAGTAGATAAGAAACCGAAGACATATGAGCAAAAACATAGTGGAAGCACTATATTCACTCTATCACTCACAGGAGGCAAAACCCCAGGGCCTTCTTACTCTTTTACAGAAAAGGAACCTTTCTGTAAGATGATTTTGAGTGGATGATTAAACAGCCTCTCCCTACCATTATTTCCACAACCCACTGCTGCTACATTTCAGTTTTTACAAAGTTAGAAAGCTATATGTACCATCATCTAGAATAGCCCATACTTCTAGGCAGGGATAGGCAATCTGATACCCCCAAAGGCTTTGCCTTTGCACCCTAATCTCTGACCATAGGTCAGGTTGTCTGAAGCAGATGGAAGCAGCAAAACATATGGAGGAAATCAGGTCTCCTACTCCACTCCAGGAAATTATTTATTGCATGTTTTGCCTTCCCAGCACAAGATTCACTGCTGCTACCACCCAACTTGAGGACAGAGGGTTTCTAGTTCCAGGAAATTATTCTACAGAAGCAAAGTACTGTCCCACTACTGGAAGGGAAAACCATCTGATGACTATAGCATACAATGCTCCTCAAACAAGCCACTGCAGAGTGAAGGGCAGGAGGAAATACAGACATCTACTCAATTGACAACGCTTCAATCTGAATAGGAGAGAAAATGAAATCATTTCCAAAATCAAACAGCTCCTTGGTATTTGTTCAGAAACTTAATATAATAAATTGGAAACTCTTCTTCCCCTTCAGTTTTTAAAGGGGAAATATACAGCTAAAGAAAGGGCTGAAGCTTCCTTAAATCCAGAGTTCTCATGCTCAAACTAGAACACTGAAGTTCACTCACCTGGAAAGAAAAATGGAGAACCTGACCACATCTTCTTGACATCTACAAGATAATATATTGATAGCAGAAGCAGAAAGGCAAAGCTGCTCAGTGTTGTCACATATGAGATGGACCTGCAGGAATTTCAAAGGACAGTTCAAGAATTGTCTAGCAGATGCCAGCATACAGAATAGCGTCTTTTCATTCTACTTACCATAAATTCTTGTTCACTGGAATAATGCCTTCATCTTTTGAGCACATGGTCAGCACAATAGAAATGACACCCTGAAAAAGAATCATTTGGGTTGGGAAAGGAATTTTGGATTTAAGCAGTGCACATTGCTTCTCATCACTGGATGGTGGCTACATTCTCCTTCACATCATGGGCAAGGCCATGGTGATCAGTGTTCCTTTGGATGGGAGCAACTCCTATGTTTCTAGTAAAGACATCTCAGAACAGTGAAAAATTCACAATATTTAGAAAGTGGATACTCCTGTTTTGTAGATTTTAGGGTGACATAAAATAAAAGCATATCAATAGTAAAAAAAACACTAGTAAGTATAGTATTACCAGTAACATACAAGCACTAATGTACAATAAACTACAGTTAAATTATATAACAGTAAAGCAGAAACAAAGCAATCATGTTTTAAAACATATTTGCATTTACTTTTCTTGAAAACCTAAGAGCCTGCCAGATCAGACTAATGGTACTTGTCCATTCTGTTTGCCTAGTGGCCAACCAGCAGCTCATGAGAAGCCCACAGGCACAGCCTGAAGGCAGCAATCCACTCTTGCTGCTCTTCTCAGTAATTAGTATTTGAATCATGCTGCATCCAATCCACATAACTTAGGACATAGTAGCCATGGATTATCTTAGCCTCTGTGAAATCTGAATGTCTTCCAGAGTCGTCTGACTTGATGTTTGTCATGCCTTATCTTATTTGCTTTCACCCCATAATTAAAAAGCCCGAAACACTCATATTTCCCAATAGGGAAGTTGTTCCACACTCCTGAACATTTTAGTGCCATTTTCTGCACTTTCTCTAGCTGTATGAAAGCCTGTTCAGATTGCAAGAATGACAACTGTATTTAGACTCAGTTTCCTGAGATCAGTGTTTTTTAATCCAATGTGCATCACTTGACATTTACTTTACACTGACCTGCACACTGTCACATTGGCCATCTTCTTACCTGCGAGCATGCCATGGCCACCCACGAATGTGTCATGCCCATCCACGAATGTGCTTGCTCACCTACACATGCACGCAAGCACGCCACGCCCACCACGTGTGCAAGGGGGTGGGAAATCTGTCCTTCGCAGCCCAGTCCTGCGAAGCCCAAGGACAGGCACCGGGCCACGGACCGGGGTTGGGGACTCCTGTACTACTGTCTTGAATTGTAATGGATGTGTTTTTATGCTGCAGGTCTAAGCAGTACTGAGGAGTTCAGGAGTCTGATATACTGCAACCGATGAGTTGAAGGAAGAGATTTCCTTTGAGTTAGATTTTAAAGAGACTAGGGACAGTATGAATGAACAAATCAAGACAATATTTGTGACTTACCATGACTACACTCCACAGGAAAAAACGGACCATTATTTGTGAGTGCTGATGTTTATAAAACAAGATAATTTTTCCTGCCTTAAAAGAAAAAAAATGAAGGCAACACATTAGAAACAGCAAGAGCAACTCAGCATGGAATGGGTTTTCACAAAGAGGAACTAATGAACTGAAAAGAGGAACTAATTTATAGTGATGCAAGCACAACAGCTATCATCTGATGCAGCCCTAAGTAGTTTTGCTATCTGAACAAGAACTTGATCCAGATTTGATTCTTAAAGGAGAATATTTATACGGTTCCTACTTAGCTTTTCTATACTGTGGTTCCAAATAAAGTTAATTATACTCCCAAACACCCTTACAGAATCTTGAATCCTGTAGTTGTTGTTCATTACCTTTATTTTTTTTAGTCAAATATCTTCTAGAATGATTAAAGTCCTCTGAAGTTTAGTCTTTTTTCTCCAAAGATCTCAGATGAATTATGTGTCCTTACTATCCTAGGAAATTTGTTAAATCTTTTGTATTTACCTATAATGTGATACAGTATTACATTTACTGGCATTGCTTTGAAGTAGCCCATTTGCTCTGAAAGTTCTTTGGACTAGATTGTTGTCTCTAGAAAAGTAACTTCCTCTTCACATGGACAAAGAGTTCCAAAAAGATATCCCATTTTCTACAGTACTACTTCATCATAAATAAGGTAAACTACCTGAAGTCCCAGAAATGCCATGATGATTGAATTGATTGTTCCCAAAATTCCTTCTGGGTCAAAGGGCACTGTAGTCAGGTAGATAACCTATAAATTAAGAAACACACACTATGAAAGCACCACCTAAGGCTGAATTTTCTACTTAGACCTTGCTACAAACTGTTCTGGCCACTCATTCCACATTCAATACAATGAATGTGATACTGTCTGTCCCACTGTCTAAGCAGAAGGCAGGAACAAAACTCTACTAAATCTGCAAGGTGCAGCCATAACAATATCTTAAGAAACAATGGAGTGCTGCATTTTGTATTTTGAATGGCGTTGCGAGTGAAATTCCTTTTCTGGTCACTAATACGGATTAATTCCATAAGTAGAGGGTCCACTGTACTTAGACCTTTCCACAAACTTTTCTGGCCATCCATTCCACATTCAATATAATGAATGTGATACTGTCTGTCCCATTGTCTAAGGCTTAGACTCTAAGCAGAACGCAGGAACAAAACTCTACTAAATCTGCAAGGTGCAGCTTAACACTACCTTAAGAAACAATGGAGTGCTGAGTTTTGTATTTTGAATGGGGTTGCGAGTGAAGTTCCTTTTCTGGTCATCTGCTATTTAGATGCATACTTTTGTCTTGTTTCATGCCACTGAACATAATACTCCAAGTAATAATAAAATTGAAGCTTAGTCAACAGCATTAAAGAAGTGTTAATTGCAATCTGACTTGTCAGCTACAAGAAACAATAGGCAGGAAGAGTTCAGCTCTTCAGAATTATAGAAATACATTTCAGCATTATTCTTAGGAAACAGCCAGCTAACAAACAATTTGAGCAGGCCACTGATATATGGTTATTTTACGGAGGCTTGAAAGACATGCTAGACATTTAAACCACTTACACTAGAAGATGGATGTTGGTACATGTGCTTCTCTCCTAGGATCAAGCGATCAATATAGGCAGCTGCTCCCCCTGTACAGTTGGAGACGTTTCCAAAATCACCAATACCTCCAGGGCCAAGGTAACTCCTAATATGGAAAAAGAAGTGGAACATGTGGTTGGAAGTAGCATGAGCTGAATAATTTGGGAATGGACAAGAGTCCTTATTGCTCCGGGCTTTAGGTCAGCGGTTTTCAAACTTCAGACTCCCAGACATTTTCAACGTTGACTCCCATGAGCCCCACCCAGAATGGCCACTAGCAAGGGACTCCAGTGCTGCTGAAAATTAGCATCTCAGGATGACTCCAGAGGGTGGGAAGCCATTTGCCTGAACACCACAACTTACAAGGAGAGCAATGTGCCAACTCTGTTACTATTCCTATTTTGCCTGTAGCACTCAAAAAGGTAGTGGTAGCACAACAGAAACTCTCAGCTGGCACTGAGGATCCCCTTCTCAAGCTGCTCCTACTTGGCTAGATCCTGGAGCTGGCATGGTAGGGTACCATCAAAGGACTGCATGTCTACCTAAATCTTAATAGAGGAAGGGTCCCAGAACAGACTGCCTCCAGTAGTCTCTGGACTTTGGACATTTCCATGGCTCTAATTGAAACTACTGTGTTTCTAATGCACAAGAATTTCTAATGAAGGTAGAATAAAACTGGTCCTAAGCATTGTTAGTTCTTAGTGTTGTTACTCCTCTACTTAACAAGTCTCACCTACTGAGCAGGTCTATTCCAGTTGGGACTAACAGTGGGATTTAACTCGGAGTTAAATCCAGATTAACCTCACATGTAATTTTGTTTTTCAAGAAAGCAAAATGTTGCGGCTGGCACTGAGTTCTAACAAGACCTACCTATGAAACCAATTCTCTTAATATCTGGAGGAACCACACAAAGTAAAACAGTTAAAATGGAAAAAGGATTTAAACTGTGACTAACTTTGGACACCCGGGTACATTTAACAGGAAGGTGAGGCACAGCCAAGCTGCTTCAAGCGCCATCATGATAAGCCACTGAGGCCAATAGGGCAAAATATCCCGGAGAGCAGGGCATGGTGCTTCCTGTTCAAACACAGAATAGAAAGGAGACATTAAGTAACTCTAGAAATGATGTGTCAGCTGGAGAACACTGCAGCTGGATCACCTGTGTATGATTCACAAGGGCCTGCAAAAGTTATATTTTTGGATTACAAATCCCAGAATTCTTTACCCAGCATGGCCATTGGTACTTTTTCTAAGTAAATTTATCAAAATTGATAAAAATTTCAAGCCCTGGTAACATATTCACTTCCGAAATATCCTTGTCTGTAGAGTTCTAGGCACTGCTGAAGTAATTATACTTAAAAAACCCCGATATATTTATATATATAGAGAGAGAATCTTTAATTTTATTACACAACCTCTTTCACAACTGCATTTTAAATATTTGAACAGGATTCCAAAGAGACGAGTTTCTAACTCATTTATTTCAGAACGGACTTTGTTTTGCTTGGTTGTGAGGAGAGAATCAAGAAGCTACTAGGGACTGAGCTGTTACTCCATCGAATTTTTAAAAGGAATTTGAAATACGTTCTGTTAATGATTAAGTTCTGCTTAACTACGCTGCAATTTACCTCATTGTTTGAACTGCAGATGTCACTGTCAGTTTCAAGCTGTTTCCATCCAGCTTACCGTATTTCTTATCCTTTTGCATGGCCATTCGTTGTATTTTGTTTGGTAGACAGTGCCTACTACTTTTTTTGTGGCATAACAAATGCATCCCTTTGTTTTGGTTACTCGCACGTGTGATGGCTTGTATCCATCCAAAAGGTGGCCTTAATTGATGTTGACAGCGCTGTCTTTGGTATGGTGTGGTAATACTCTAGTGAGCACCTCTCATCTTTCCTTGGAAGAAATGTTTTCTAATTTTTTCAAGAAATAGTTCTGTCAAGCACTTCCTCCGTAACTGCCTTGTTAAATTATTTTGTGAGAACAAGGTAGTTGCTACTGCCTTTTAAGTCATCATGCAGATATGTTGCTAATTTGGTGGCTTAGAGAGGAAACGGGAGAGGCCATTACAGGGACCCTCTTTGATCCCCATCCCACAGGGTCTTTGTCTTACATTTCAAATAATCACCACCACCATCATATTATGAAGGAAATAATATTTGAGGAAGAGGGAGTCTGCAAGGATGTGTGAGTGTTTTCTTCTCTTTGGTCTATTATGTGTACAATTTCCTCCACACGCATACTCCGTTCTTCTCCTTTTAATCAGTGTTACCATGCCAAATTGGAGAGGCTATTCACACCCACCTGCTTCTTCTTCTTTTTCAAATCATGGGAAAAATTTGCAAATCAAAGCATTTCCTTTTTCTCCAGATCCTCCCCTTCCCACTCTCCATCAAGCCCTTGAGAAAACAAAAGCATTCTGCTATGCCTGCATAAGCTGCCCTCTGCCCAAAATCTCACACCTCTATTTAAAGAGGAAAAAAAAGCACACAAAGGCACCGACCGACCTCCAAGCTCATCCTAATTATTATTTCCATAATATTTCTAGGAATCACTGTCAATCTCATCATAAACCATCCTATTCCCATAGGCAGACTAAACTTTTAGTTAGTTTCTCTCTGTGCTGGCCTGGCAATTTGCCATACCGAGTCAGTTCTGTATTAGCTGTCATTTTTAAAAGGAAGAAGTGAAAGTGGGGAATGGATGAAAGGGAGGGAGGACAGACAAAGGCGGGGAAGAGGGTGATGTTAATAGAGCAGGAGGCTGTGATCCAGGTGAACCTTTTAGCGACTGGAAGATGCAGTGTGAACGCCTGCAACAGGATAGTTAAACATTTCTATGTAAAGAACAACAACAATTTCAGCAATGAAAATAGCCAGGGTCATGGTATAGAAAACTTCAAATTAATCCTAATAAACCTGAGACAACCTCCCTATGTAGTCAAGTCCCAATATGGTTTTACTGATATATAGGAGACATTTTTCAAGATCCTGAAGCTGAATTAATAAATTGAGCTACATACAGCCATTTTAGTGGGACGTGGTGGCGCTGTGGGCTAAACCGCAGAAGCCTGTGCTGCAGGGTCAGAAGACCAAGCAGTCGTAAGATCGAATCCACGTGACGGAGTGAGCGCCCGTTGCTTGTCCCAGCTCCCGCCAACCTAGCGGTTCGAAAGCATGCAAATGTGAGTAGATAAATAGGTACCATCTCGGTGGGAAGGTAGCCAGGGTCATGGTATAGAAAACTTCAAATTAATCCTAATAAACCTGAGACAACCTCCCTATGTAGTCAAGTCCCAATATGGTTTTACTGATATATAGGAGACATTTTTCAAGATCCTGAAGCTGAATTAATAAATTGAGCTATATACAGCCATTTTGGCTGGGAACACAAATAGGCTACCACCGATTAAGAGATACAACAATGGTTCTACAAGAACAGTCTTCTGCTCTCTTTATGCAGACTCACTTACCGGAGAACTGCTTTCAGGCACAGGTTTGGCAAAGAGAAGCTCAAGCAGAGCAACTACAAGGTATGTACAGCCGAGTCTCTGAAGCACACCAGGAATTCGTAGATTGTCCCAAGACACTGCAGGAGGCAGAACAAAGAAGCAGTGAGGAGGACTCAGTACTGCTTTCAGAGAGACAATGTATACAGGACAGGAGCAATTCTTTTTATTACAATATTGGAGCCATTCATTCTAATCTGTGCTTTAGTATAAATGAATAAAGTGGATAGTTAGCCTGTGTTGGAAAGCTAACATTAAGGTTTGTCTTTTTACCCTTAGTGCCCTGAGCTTAACGCCCCAATATCTAGAGGGTGAGGCTTAAAGGGAAAGACTGATGGATACTGTGGGAGTGCATGAAAACTAAATATAAACAATTGTCATTTACTTCTTCTATGGCATAGAGGTTAAGAATGATGCCTTAACGTGCATATTCAAGCTTTTTAGGGGCGTAAGTGAAGGTGCTTTAACCTTCTCTTGAATAGTAGGGTTTGTTTTCTATCCTACTATCTAAGGGTAACATGAAATATAACTATACCATAAACTACAAAGTAGAGAGTTCCATGTTACTGGGTGGGAACAGGAAAGCATCTCAAACCTTGACTAGTAAAGGATCTATTCATTAAATTAAGTTAATTTCTAGTGTTCCCAAAGTACTAAAACAAGATAAATTGGTCGTACGTTTTTACAAATGTGGTAGATCCAAGCTGGGATGCTGAACCGAAGCTTATATCTGTTCTTTATTAGGTAGCATGGAAAGTTGGATTTTCTGCAGGTATAGCTATGTTCAAGTGGGCCATTTCTCAGCAAATGTGAAAAAAAAATCTCAGAGCACTTACAAGGCCCAAGGCAGTAATTTGGGTTCACAACTATGACTCCTATTAAAAAGAGGAGGAGGCTCCTCCACAGGATTTTCACCAGCAATCGCCACTTGGAACATCCTCGTCTCAACATGGAACTGAGCGACAGAGCAATGGAAGTGCCCATGATAAACACAAACCTAGACAGGCAAGAAAGAGAGAAGTTCATGTCCGTACCAAAGCACATTTTGCTGTTTGTGACCATTCTAAGGGCAGGGCTAGCTCTCAGGTTCGGGACCCTTTAACCAGGAGGCATGGGCAATGAGCTGAGGACAGCAGCAGAATGAACGACCACTGAGAAGGTCTTTGCTAAGGTATGCTGCCAGCTCTTTCCTGATATGCACTTAATTCCTCTGTCCTCAAATTTCTCCAGAGCTTCCCATGTCATAATAGATTTCCAAAAATGTTTCACTTTCTGTGGTATGGCTGGGAAAGGCAAAGGCAAGAAGAAACCTGAATTGTATCTGATGTCCCTGTGCACCATGAAAATCCAACCAAGTTAGAATGGTGGTTCATTTAGCTTGGGAGACCTCCTGCTATCTCGCCATGGTGGCTGGCACTACTAACATTCGCAGGAGGGAATCCACACTGAATCACTTTGCTAGTTCAGACCACGAAGCATAAATCCTGCATTCCGCTTTCTACTGCCAGCCATCTGGGAGTTTATAACCTCAGGACGAATACCATGGTCCTTCACAAAATGTGTTCATCCCGTACATTTTGTAAAATGTCCCAGCAGAATGAACGACCACTGAGAAGGTCTTTGCTAAGGTATGCTGCCAGCTCTTTCCTGAATTGTACTTAATTCCTCTGTCCTTAAATTTCTCCAGAGCTTCTCATGTCATAATAGATTTCCAAAAATGTTTCACTTTCTGTGGTATGGCTGGGAAAGGCAAAGGCAAGAAGAAACCTGAATTGTATCTGATGTCCCTGTGCACCAGGGAAATCCAACCAAGTTAGAATGGTCGTTCATTTAGCTTGGGAGACCTCCTACTATTTCGCCATGGTGGCTGGCACTACTAACATTTGCAAGAGGGAATCCACACTGAATCACTTTGCTAGTTCAGACCAAGAAGTATAAATCCTGCATTCAGCTTTCTACTGCCAGCCAAATGGGAGTTTATAACCTCAGGACGAATGCAATGGTCCTTCACAAAATTTGTTCATCCTGTGCATTTTGTAAAATATTCTTTTGTTCAAATAGGAAAATGTTTGCATTATTTGTTTTTCCTCTTGTAGTGCTGCCTGTTTTGAATCTTTGGAATCTGGACAGAATTAAAATATAATATTTAAAAACACCACACACAACGTAACTTGACATAGGGAAATGCCATCAATGAGCCATGGCATATTTCTATGTCTCTTGGTAAAGGGAAAAAGTTTATGGATCACTATGCGATTTCGTCGTTATACGGTGCGCTCATTAAGCGAGGCACCACTGTATATTTAAAAACACCACACACAACATAACTTGACATAGGGAAGTGCCATCAATGAGCCATGACATATTTCTATGTCTCTTGGTAAAGGAAAAAAGTGTGGGGAGACCTTGACCAAGAGGCATAATCATATATGTGCAGTGAGTTGGGGGGAAAGCAGCAGAATGCATCTAGGACAAACTGAGTCACATTATCCTGCACTGGAACTGGAAACTCAGTTGTCCACCAATTATTACTGGTTTTCAGTTCTCCTCTTGCTCTAATCATTGACCATGCTGACCATGGCTGATAGGAGTTGGAATCAATAGCTGGAGAGACACAGGTTCTCCAGCTCTGCCTGAAACAGGCAACCAAGTTTGAAACCCTAGTGAAGATATTATGGTCTAAGATTGAACTGGAGCTCTACCTTTAAATATAAAATGCAACATATAGCTAATATTTATCAAGCCACATTTAAAGAGCAATTTTGGGAGATTTTTTTGTGGAGGGGGAGGATGGCTTCTCACATTATGTATATTTGTGTGCTACTGTGCCTCTTTAAGATATTTAAAATATGGAATGATATGGATTTGCTATGTTTTCCCCTCTTACAGAAGGAGGCCTCCTTTCCTCTGCTCATGCATTGGATCTTGACAGAGGGACTAACCAGCAAATGCAACACTATTTCGGCTGTTTGTCTTGTAGCTTCCAGGTGGCTGCCTTTGAAAAATGCCTAAAATACTGAATTGCAATAGGTGCAGTTACTCTCAACTTGATGTTTGTTGGCAGTAAACAAATAAATTACACACAATCATGTTTTAATGGTACAGAATGGTTTGAGGAGGTGGCAGCATTTGTAACTTCACAAGTATCGACCATTCAATGATGTGCATAGCCTGCATCTGCCAGTTTTCCCTAGCCTTGTTCTTCAGGAGAAATGGCTGCTTCCAGGAATGGGCGGTATGGCCAGGCTCGTCCCCTTTTCAGCCCTGTCTCTTGGGAATGCGGCAAATCTAGAAAACATCCCTTGGTCTTAATGAGATCACCTATTCCTGGCTTGCCATTCTACTTGTTAAATTATATTTATGCCGCTTTAAACATGAACACTCCTTCCATTCTTGGTAACTATTTCCAAATGTTTAAAAGGATATACTGTATCCTGAGTTTTAGGATTGAGAGGTATGCTCTTTGGGTTGGATGAAAGACACATGCACTTTTGTTAAGAAAACACAAGCGCATCATGTGAAATAAAAATATATCAATTTTTTGGGATGTAAAGGCAAAGATTTTTCAAGACTTGAAAATAATTATAAACACTGAATTTTCAAACACCCTATTTCAGGTTAAAGAGATGGAGCCTCTATACCTGAATCTCTGAGTTTTTCAATTTAAAACCTCAAAATTAAAAATGATAACTATGTATTGAAAAGTAGTAAACATGATGATGATTGTCTCTTCTAAAAAAATTAATCAAGGCCTACTCTAAACATTTCCAATCAGATTGACACACACAGAGAAAACACCCAACATTGAGCTCTTCTGAATGGGTTTTCTTGAGTGACGTGACATCATATTCATGATTGTGATGAATTACCATGGAAAGACGAGGTCTGCTACAGTTAGTCCTACAAAAAGAAATGTGAAAATTTTTAATAATAATAATAATAATAATGGATCAGCTAGCAACTATTTTCCTGCAGAAATCTGATGTTTGGGTTTAATGTTTATTAATAACCATCCTCTATTATTCTGCACTTGTTAAAATATGTTTAACTAAGGGCCTAAATACAGGCGATAAGCAAAACATATGAAAACCAAACTCTAAAACTCCCTCTCACCCCACTTTTTTTTGTCAGAAAAAGACACTCCAAGAATGGCCAATTTGGAATGATGTCGTCTCAAATGGGGTGCCGTAACCCTCCCTCAACTCGTCTTCTCCAATCCATATCACGGTTTCATGCTGCTTCTGCCCAAACAGGGCTTCAAATAAGTCTTTGTCCTGCCTCTGCAGGATAACTAATGTCTCAAAGGACAATTCAGAATAAAGACATCAATAAAGATTTTCCCATTGTCTTTAAAATTCAAAATGGTTTTCCCCTAAAGAAATGGTAAAGGCCATTAATTGATGGGGTTGCTGTAAGTTGGTAGTGACTTCACTGCACCTAACAAAGAGAAATATTCCATAAAAGAAAAGGAAATGGGGCTGTTGGGGCTCAGATGCATTCATTTGCACATAATAGCTGAAACCCTTTTGTGTACTGCAGTAAGTTGCAACTAGAGCAGTCCCAATAAGCAACAACAACAATGCCCTCCATTGACACAGACCTTGTTGAGGCGCAGGGGCTTGTGTACTTGAGTTTGAGAGCTATGCCGGTGGTAGCGCTGCTACTTGAAGGGTCTCCCAAGCCAGACCAACCGTGTCCACTAACCAACAATTATGATGAGAAGAATCTTGTTGGCACACGACATACAGGTTTGAACAGGCCTGAAAAGGCCATAAAATTTGGTGGGAACAGGGAAAGGCAGGGGGAAAGGAAAACAGGAAAGGACTCACTGGGAATGTTAACAATTGCAGCCCAAGATCAAAAACTGAGATAACAAGCGAGAAGACAAAAGATCAAAGTATCAAAACCAAGTCTGTAATCCAAATCACAAATGGTAACCAGTACAAAGGCCAAAAACCAGACACAATAACAGTAGCCAATCCAAAATGCAAGAATTGTAAATCAGGTCAGTCCAAGTCAAAATACTCCAGAGATCAGAAAAACTGTAGTCAAGAAGACAGGCTGGGATCAAAACCAGAAAATCTGAACAAATTGAAAACATATCTAGGTGTCGCGAAAGAGTCCGATTGCAGCGGCGACAAAAAGGAACTGAGGTACTACAGGTGGGCAGAGCATGCGCAACACGGGGAAATGTTCTATTGGTCAGTTATTTTAGCTCTAGAATATTCCGAAGAGTCCTGCGCAGGCGCAGCTTAACCCATTCGTGTGCATTCACAGAGACCACGAAGAAGAATGTTTGGATCACTGACATTCCAATTCTAAGGGATGACAGTTGAAAACAAAGAATTGGAAAAACTAACAAAATACAGAGATCTAGCAATCAAAATATCTCACTTGTGGATGAAACACACTTCGATTGTCCCTGCAGTCATAGTGGCTTTGGGAACAATATTATGAAATTTCACACAGTATTATAAGCAGTTGCAAATCTCAGAAGTAACACCATCAGAGCTACAAAAAACAGCAATATTTGGAACAGCATACATACTGTGTATGATATTTAACAGATACTTAGCTTTTGGTTAAAACCTGTATGTTATATAATGCCAGTCAGTGTTTTTATAATTTTGATTGACTGTGCCTAGTATTTTTGAATAATATTAATCATCATCATCATCATCATTTTAGAATTGCAGAACTGGAAGGAACCCTATGGACCATTGCATCTAGTCCTTGTTAAGAAGGCACAGTGGGGAATTGAATTCCCAACCTCTGGCAGTAAATGGAATTTACAGAGAAGCTCACTCACCAAATCCCCCCTTATACAATGGTTCTACTCTAGTTACAACTTACTACATTATGCAATAGGGTTTCAGCTGCCATATATTTTTAGGTTGTGTGAATTTTGACTTCTGGAGTCTTGGGAGATCGGCTACATCAGTTGTCCCCAACCTTGGGCCTCCAGATGTTCTTGGACTACAACTCCCAGAAGCCTTCACCACCACCTCTGCTGGCCAGGATTTCTGGGAGTTGAAGTCCAAGAACATCTGGAGGCCCAAGGTTGGGGACCACTGGGCTACATGACTAACAGCAGTTGAACTACAAAGCATTTCTTGAGCTGCTATCAGGAATGGATTGATATCAAGAAGCAATGCATGCCCAGCTTGTTGCAGGCATTTGGTCTGCTGCATTGGATCAAAGGCAGCCAGCTCATTTCTCAGAGTGGTGAATGAAAGGTTTGTGGGAAGCTCATATGCAGGACAGGGGGAAATGGAGTGCCAAATCAATTATATTTAGCTCTTGCTACTCATTTATCAAGAGAAATTTAAGATTATCAACAAAAGTTTACCATTCCAGCTCTGGTGCTTGAAGAACCAATACTTTCCTCCACCATAATTCACAAAGACCATAATTATAAGAGCCAACCTACAGATGAAAAGCAAAACAAGATGCATGAACTTGTTTAACATATAAAGCACTCATCTCAATGTTAATCATCATCATCATTTATTTAATTTGATTTTTATAGTGCCCATCTGACCAATGGTCATTCTGGACAGTTCCCAGATAACAACAAGAACAAAAACAAATGTGGCATAATCAAGTGTTTTTCAGATGTTCCTTGAAGGACATTAGGGAGGAGGCAGGTAAATTTCAGATGATAATTCATTCCAAGTCAATTCTGACTTATGGTGACCCTTTTAAAGGTTTTCCAGGTAGAGAATATAGAGAACTGGGATACCATTCCATTCTTCTGGGGGTGTCCTGGAACTGTGCAACTTGCCCAAGGCCACGGAGGTTTGTTTGACTTGTAGGAAGCACGGTGAGGAATCAAACCCCCAACCTTTGGCTCCTCAGCCAGATACCAAACCACTGACCTATCCAGCCAGCAACTTTCTCTGTTAGAAATGTGTAATGTCACCCTCTCTAGGAGAAAAGCTCTAAATTAACATACAGTGATGCCTCACTTTATGATCGCTCCGTTTAACGACGAAATCGCATTGCGATGAACTTTTTGCAATCGCTTTACGATGTTTCCTATGGGGGAATTTTGCTTTGCGAAGATCGGTTCCCTGCTTCAGGAACTGATTCTTCGCAAAACGATGACTTTCGGACAGCTGATCGGTGGTTTCAAAATGGACGCCGGGTAAACAAAATGGTTTTCTGGGACGGATTCCTCGCTACACAGGCAGTGAAAATGGCCGCCCTATGGAGGATCTTCGCTGGTTTCCAGCCCATCGGAACACATTAAACGGGTTTTAATGTGTTTCTATGGGCTTTTTAATTTTGCTTTACGACGTTTTCATTCTACAGCGATTTTGCTGGAATGAATTAACGTCATAATGTGAGGCATCACTGTATTTGGTTAATGCTGCTGATTTTCAAAGTGTACTCCTGTTTGGAGGAATTATTAAAAAGAACCCAGGATGGCTAATAAACATGAGCAAAAAGTGAGGGCTTAGATAGATGGCCCATTTGGAGGGGGCTGGTGCAACCTAAATAGGCTTGCTTAAGGTTGGATAAAGATCCAGTTAGCCATGTCGTGTGATCTTTGCGTACATACGGCAATCCAACCTGCACCTGAAGAAGAGTAGGCCCTGACAGGGACCAAAAAAAGGTGCAGATAGGAATACACTGTGGGTAAGCTAGTTCACTTGAGCAGACACATCATCTGATCACCAACAAAAGGAGAAAATCAGCCTGCCCCTGCAACAGGAGTCACCCTCTTACCCTCTGAATGTGTCCAGTGAACGGAGTCGATGTAGGGAGGAAGCAGCACTCCACACCCCAGCTGGGTGATCACTACCAATGGAGTCTGTTCTGCTTGGGGATCCAAGCTCCTTGAAGAGAAGGGCAACAATAGGAAAAATTAGCAATGAGATTTCATGAGCATGAGTAATGTCCTGCCCATTTAGAATGCTGTGAATAAGTCCCAGTGAATGCAACGGGCCTTCCTTTCCTCCGCTAAGAGACTAGAGGGGGTTGGGTGAGCTTGCTAGTCTCACTCCTACGTCACTACTTCCATCACACCGAGATTGGCTTTCTTAAGAGGAGACAGTTCTTTATGTGCGAACACCCCTCACAGGTTCAGGAAGCTGAAGAATCTCCATGCATAAGAGGAACACCTCCTTGTGACAAACCCAGACCTACTGGGATCTGCCACACAGTTACACTAAGCTGCCACCAACCATTCCCTGTAAGAAGTCACACAGACCAGGGATGGATTTTTAAACAATAAAAAGAATAAGGTTTATTTAAATACACACAGGGAAAAATAAACAATCAGGTGAATAAATAAAGTAACGTGGCTTACTCTCACTCATACAAGCATACAGTTTGGTTCACCCAGAACCCTTAACTTGAAGCACAGACCCTGAACCTATCAGTTCTGGCTAACCAACAGGAATCTCCATGCATAAGAGGAACACCTCCTCTCCTGGAATTTATTCTCTGTGTGAGGGATATGAAGAATAGAAACAAGACGGCAAAGCTTGCATGAGTTGTCTCCTTGATACTTGATAGAAGGAATCTGTGCTGTCAGGGGCATTGTGGGAATTGTTCAAAGGACACAAATACAGGCACCTCTATTATTTGGCCAACATTCAGAGTACTTGAAAACGGCTTAGGGATTACAGTAATCAACAAATCAGCACACATATATGACTTAACCCTAAATTAAACCACATTTGCAAACTGAATTACACGGTTATGTTTGAATGACCTGTCTGTGTACCCCTCAAACCTCTGAATTTCAGCATTTTTTGAAAACGTTTCATATCTAAAAATTCATATGACTAGAATAACTTACTGAATTAATAAGCCGATCAGTTTCTCTAGGATTCATCTTCTTGTAAAGCCAATTTCTGACCAGTTCAATACTATGAACGAGGAATAAAGAAAAAAGTCAGCTTGAACTCTGCAATAATGTCACCTTGAGTGTTATCACTTGATAATTTCTCTCAGGGTAGCTTCATCATCAGCTTATGATGATGGATAAAACAAGAAAAAAAAAGATAAATTGCAAGTAAAATATAAGAAACAGCCCAAATGAAATAGCAAGCAAGTTTAAGGAGAAAATAAAATTAAAGAATTACTAACTAGACTCCTGGAAATGCACCACTGAAATTTGGGTGGGAAGAACAGTCAGGATATACGTATCAGAAAACAACCCGTCAGCCATCTTCCAAGGATTACACACTTGATATCTCTTGACCACGCTTGTCCTGCAACAGGTTGCCTCCCCTTTGCTTGCTTACTGGTTTACCCAGCAATGGTGGCTGATCTTGAATGTGACGATATCTTTTAGAGGTGAGAGACCTATTCACCATTTTGGATGTCTGAGGTGACCAAGAGGGTCTTTCATGATTCAGAACACACACACACCCACTTGCAGAAGAGGAGGGGCTCTTCATTCCATTAACACTCGCAAGGTCACCTGGACATTCTAGAACTGCTGTCAGAATGACAATCTAGCTGTGAAGAGGTCTGCTTTGTTGCGAGCAGAGTACTTTTTTTAAAAAACATGGGTAGGTGAACTATCCTCCACAAGTATTTAAGATAGTAAATAGAAGCCTTGTCCTTTGCCTGCTAAATTTATTTGAAATTCTCTTTCTCCCTGAAAAAGAAGCAAGAATCACCATGTCTTAGAAAATATGTTAATGCAAGTAACAGGTAGTGTTTGGCATAGCCCTGTTTGCTACAGTCTCACGTTTGCCTCTGGCTTGTATTAAAGCCTGAGCCAGAGATGAACTTCATCTTGTCCACCTACCCCTTGCCTCCCTACATAATACAGAAAATGCCCTCTCCTTTGTAAATACTCAAACCACTTCCGCTAAAGGTCTTTAGCAGAAGATCTTAGGACATGGGCCACCTCCATAGACTGCATAAACTGCCTATGCCGAATAGAATAGCAGAATTAACATGCAAAGGACAGTAACATCCACTTTGGACTCTGTATCTTATTTACTTACTTCAGAAGAAATAGTCCCAATCTCAGAATAAGGAAAAAGCCCAGATAGATAAGAACTGCAATGAAAATAGCTGTACAAAAGAAAATATACACCTATAATTACTGCTAGGCATAAAGTACACATTCTGGATCAGAATTCCTCATGTAGGCAGCTAGGCATAAAATTAAAACATCAAAACCCACTTTAAAGAAAATTAGGCTTCCAACAGAATTTAGCCCAAAATCTCAAGACAGGAAACAAAATTTAACAAAACACTGTGGAGAAAGAGGATGAAGTTTTTAAATCCAGAACTCTGTAACTCGAGATTGAGTGATGGACAATTGATTTGCCTGTGAGCTCTAACGCTTCCAGAGGGAGAAACTACATTGACAAATAGTTTCAGAATGGCTCCAGGATTGGCACAGTTAGATTCATTGTATTTTATTTTAACTACACAACATACAGCTCAGGGTGAATCAATCTAGACTTTTTTCTTCCCAATTCATAGCCTTTCCCTCTGTAGCTGGGGTGTCTACTTTTTTTGCATCGGTTCAGGCATGTGTGACTGCTTGTGCCAATGGACAAAAGCAATAGAGAGGTGTGCAGGGAGGGATCCATTTGAAAGGGGCAGGGGTAGTGGTGAAGATGACAATTTAAATGTGATGGGTTTTTTTGTCTATGGGAATACCCCACCCCCAAGCTCTCTCCCTTTCACCCCTGAAATTAAAGATATTGTTGGCAAAAGGTGGCTGACAACAAAGATTAAAGAGAGGAGAGAGGGAAAGGTGGGGAAAAGGGCATTGACTTGTATATGTGATTGAAAACAGTACACTTAAAGCAAAAGGAGACTTTGAATCAACCTGCATCAGATCCAAATCTGAACACTATGGATGCTTAATGTAGTCACCCCCAGAGTTCAGAAAAGTAAGATTTCGAGACGACAATTCTCAACCAGCATGGCTGTTAGCCAGGGTATTCTGAGTTATAATACAACAGCAACAGTTGCTACTTTTCGAAATTATGGAAGCTTCAAAATTTTACATCTACTTGGTCTTGCAATATTATTATTATACCTCTTTTAAGAAGGACTACGATAGGCTAGCTCTGCAATTAAAAACTTCATATGGAATTAAAGGAACAAGAAGAGGCGCACAATTATCTGCTAAGAAAAGCAGCCAATGGGGAAAGGAAGTGTGGCAGAGTGCAACAGAACAGCTTGATTCAAAATCAATATGTTCAAAGAGATGTTTAGATATAATTAAAAAATTAACTACAATCCTTCACGTGGTACAGTGGTGCCTCGCATAGCGATGTTAATTCGTTCCAAAAAAACATCGCTATGTGAAACCATCGCTATGCGAAACACCATTAAGAAGGACTACGATAGGCTAGCTCTGCAATTAAAAACTTCATATGGAATTAAAGGAACAAGAAGAGGCGCACAATTATCTGCTAAGAAAAGCAGCCACTGGGGAAAGGAAGTGTGGCAGAGTGCAACAGAACAGCTTGATTCAAAATCAATATGTTCAAAGAAATGTTTAGATATAATTTAAAAAATAACTATAATCCTTCACATGGTATTACCTTATGATAGATTTAGAGACCACTAACAATCTTTCATGACAATTACACAATAAAGTATCTCAGTGAGTTGAATCCTAGAGTTCTGCTGGGTCACATTTGTAAACAAATTTTAGAAGAGTTTGTGAATGACTAGTCCTTGTGTTGTACTTCCATGCAGAGTTTTTCAGATCTTTGCTTTAAGACAAGGGCCAGGACACTCTTTAAGCCCAAGGGCGGAATTCAATTTTAGAGAAGTTCTCACATTCCAGTGGTAGGTAGGGCCAGGAACAAAAGGGCCGAGGGATCAAATAGCACCATATATTTGTTTAAAGCTTTTACTAGTAACTAAACCTTGTGAGAGGAACCTCTTTCTTTAATTCATTCTTTTGCCTCCATTCCATTTCATTTGTATCATGCATCTCTCCTAGTAAAGGGGTTCAAGGCAACTTACAAAATATTTAAGACACACATGTCTTCATCTCTTATGAAGCCTGTGACTTGACTGTGTACTTCTGTCAGCTCAAAAATTTTCCCCAACATACAAGACTGCCTTTTCATATCAGATGCAGGGACAAAGGAGGGGCAGAAGAAACCGGCTGAACTGGCTCAGCAATCATTAGGGAGTTTAGCAGGTAGTCCTCCCCCACCTCCAGTGTGTTATGGATTGGGTATGGCATCATGGCAACCAAACAATTTTCTAAGCAAACTCCCCAGTAAGGTAATTCTGCTGACCAAGGAATTCTGGGAATTGTGGTCCCAAAAGTAGTATTTCCAAGTTTTGGCAGGTATTTAGAAATGACAGCAATACTTAAAATAACATACGGAGGTAGCTGTTGATAGGATTTTGGTTGACAACGATATTGCATGAAATCTTCAGGCTGCTGCTGTGGAGATTCTTGACTATTAAGGAATAGTTTCCAAATTCTCCAAAATGGTAATGTGTCCTACAAACAGTGAAGAGATAAATTCTTCAGAAGTTTTCTTCAGTTATAACCATACTGTTATAAGATAGCATGACGCCTTGCACATGAATAACAGCATGTTAATGTGACCTAAAAAATGGATCCAGTTTTTCCAAATGTGCTAACATGCCCATTTGTGTATTTTGATGCCTTTACAAAGACAGAACTAATACTTTCCCTAGGGTGACACTTACAGAACCAGCTGATTCCCAAAGGCAGTTGATTGGACATTTCCTTTTTAGCTTTGCTGAACATGGCGATCATTTCATAACCTGTGGCCATAGTAAACAGGGTAGAACCTTAATACGAGCTAAGCTGTATATCTACTTAATCTATAGGGCTCCCTCTGTCATAGTTTTCTCTTCTGCCCTTTTTACAGCATTCCCTCTCATCCACAGTTCTTCAGTTTCTCTTGTATCCATGTTCTTTTACACCACCGTTATATATCTGTTAGAAAAAACATCGCTATGCGAAAATCGGTAAGTGAAACAGCTTACTGATCATCGCAAAGCGATGTTTTACCATTTAAAACATCGCAATGCGATCGCAAAAACTCAATCGCTATGCGGATTCATTGTTAAACGAAGCGCTCGTTATGCGGGGCACCACTGTACATACCAATCAGAACAGCTCTGGCATCTAAAAGACTGTCAGGTTTATTTCAGGATGTGCTTTTGCGCAATACAATCCACTGCCTGAGTGGATTTTATTCCACTCACCTGTAATTCATGACAGCTCACAATAAAATAAATCTGTTAATCTTTAAAATGTAGGGTATCTTTTGGGAGTTCTTTGCTATAGAACTTTTAGTGTTACCGCAGGTTTGCTCAAGCTCTCCAGTAATGGTTGATTGGGCATCTGAGTTAACATAACAGCACTCCCTTTGGGCAAATCAACACAAAATATAAAATAGAAAATTTCAGTCCCTTTTTGGAAGAATTCTCAAAATAGATGTCAGAGGAATAGCTGTAAATTTCACTATAAAAATAACACAGGACCATTGGAATATCACAAATGCCTGCAACTGTGAGTGCTTTTAATACATAACATATTACAGAAAGGCACTAACCTGCAAAGTTCTTTGCCTTCTGGAGTACTATTAACAATTAGAGTCATGGCATGCTGACAATCCACATGGGTAGTTGCAATACTGCTCATGATGACAAAACTCAGCTCTTGAGCCAAGCACTAGAAAGAAAAATGAATGAATGATCAATAAGAAACCTGTGAGTGCTTTTAATACATAACATATTACAGAAAGGCACTAACCTGCAAAGTTCTTTGCCTTCTGGAGTACTATTAACAATTAGAGTCATGGCATGCTGACAATCCACATGGGTAGTTGCAATACTGCTCATGATGACAAAACTCAGCTCTTGAGCCAAGCACTAGAAAGAAAAATGAATGAATGATCAATAAGAAACAGAGCTGACCAAGCACTAGAAAGAAAAATGAATGAATGAAGATCAATAAGAAATAGAGCTGACCATGGCTAGATTTACAAAAAAATATGCATCTTTTACAGTAATTCAAGGCACATACAATGGTTGCTGGATCGACCGTGAAAAAACTGTTGATCTAAACTGTATAATGGTACCCTAAAATTAAAAATATCTATCTGTATAAAACTGTTTCAGTGTTATGGGCTAAATCCACTGTTAATACCACCCAGAGAAGATCTGTTGACATCACTGGGACAACATCTACAATGACTAACAAGCCCTATGTTAATACTTGGGATTAACATTGGATTTAGCTTTATACATTCAGAGTTAAACTTTTCAGAAGTGAAGTGGGCACCAAATCCATTCATCTATTTGCATTTTTCTTGGGATGATCCTAGTTTCTTCTATTAATACAATCATAAGCTCAGTTCAGGGCTGAATAATGATTTACAAGGATTAATTGTGGATTGTCCAAAAAAACAACTGGTTTCTCAGGGCCCAAATGGACAAGATGAGGAGCTCTTCCAAGAGTAGTGGAGCTGACTTGAGCAGTAAAGCAAAGCAAAGCAAAGCGTGCTGCTTATATACCATCCCATAGTGCTTCAAGCACTCTCTGGGCGGTTTACAAGTTAATTATGCAGGCTACACATTGCCCCCCCCCAGCGAGCTGGGTACTCATTTTACCGACCTCGGAAGGATAGAAGGCTGAGTCAACCTTGAGCCGGCTCCCTGAGATTGAACCCCAGGTCGTGAGCACAGTAAAGGAGGTGTGATTATGTTTTAATGTCTTTCACAGCTTTGCAAGTTGCAGATTAGCTTGCTTTTCTCAGTTGATTTGTTTAGTGGCAGGAAGCAACAGGCTCTGTTTGCATGTTGATTTTGCAAACACAGCATCTTTGAAGATGGGGAACTAGAGGAATATTGCGTACATATCTTCTAATAGCAATGATGCCCACCTTGTCTCTTTTGGCATTTGGTATTAGTTTTCTAAGTCTGTACTCTTCCTGCCATTCTTGACCTACACCCACATCTCCGTATACTGCTATCTCCTATTCTTTAGCAAATAATAAAAGTCTAGAAAATATCAATAGATGAACAACATTCAGGTCATACAATAAAGAAAGCTTCTGCACACCCAAGCGAGTTAAAAACAGTCAGTGCCAAAACTGAGTTTAGCAAAACAATGAAGAATGAAACTACATCCAGTTTGCACCACTTCATTCTAATAATAGGATTTTTAGGATACCATTTGAAAACTTCCGTCACATTCTTCAGTTGAATATGATTTACCTGGTAACAATAATCTGACACCCAGGAGACAGAGAAGTTCTCATGGAGCAGTTCATTATGAATTTGTAGCAAGGCCTGATCAATCTTCAGATCCGAGGCTGGTCGCCTAGATATATCTGTTAGGGACAGATAAAGAAAAAACTTCAATATTTAACTAGGCAAAAATTCTGAATTCAAGACTTACTGTTATGAAGCTCAGAACCACTAAGAATTCTAGGATGACAGATTCTCTCTCCAAACATTTTTGCCAATAAGAACCTAGCTGACAGTACTGGGCAATTCTACTATATATCTTTTAAACTGCCTTTCAAATGTGAAGATAGTGCTCAATCCCAGCTCTCCCTCCCCAACACTTCTTGTTCTTTTATTAAATTATTACCATATCTTTAAAAATTAATGATGGAACCTGGCTGTGGAAAACTAGAAGCGCACCCTTTAGTAATAACAGTCTTTTGAACATAAGCATTTGAGTTCAATAACATATTTTCCTATAAACAATCAAATATGAACATTTGTGATAGCAATACCATAGTATACAGAATATATATGACCACCATGTCACAGGCCTTTCTCAGAAGTGTTCCTGATCATGTGTAGAATTTCTCTCCACAGAGTTTTTCTTTTTTGTTAAAAAAAATAGGATTTAATTGTGTGCAGAATACTGTTCTTTGAAAAATGAATATTTCCCTCTTAGATTGGAGACCCATGGAAGTGTGAGCAGACAGAGGCTTGGTGTCATTCCAAGCAGGGAAACCTCCTGGGATCTGAATATAGGTCTGTTGGCACATATGCCAAAGGTTCTGGGTATAAAGAAACAGCCACATAATTTAATAATAACATGTCTGCAATACAATTCAAGATCAAATTGTATAAATTTGGTCCAAAAAGTCAATTCCACTCAGTGAGAATTATTGACCAAAGAAAACAGAATGCAGAGGCAGCTATGGTGACCAATAAACAAAGTCCAAAATCCATGTTCGGGCAGCATCTTCACTAAGTGGAACACAAAATTAAAAACAAAACAAAACTGTGTGCAAGCTTTCAGGATCAACAGGCATGGGGGTGCAAAAAGAGGGGTAAGAAAGGGCAAAGTGGGGAGAGCAAATTTAAACCTGATCTTAAAGTCTTTGGTGAACAGAATGTAAGTAGGTTGGGGTGATAAGGGCTTGACCCAGGATGCCAATATACAGAGGGTACAAACATCTGCTGCTAGAATGGCATGTTTTTGTATGAAAGCCAGGGCAGCACATAAAATTGAGGTGGGGCTTGTTCCCAGTACAGTATTTTAAAACAATGCATACCCCCCTTTGGATCAAGGACTGCCTATACCAGTAGCAGCAAACCTTACTATACCAGCTGTGGCACGCGTGCCATAGGTTTGCCATCGCTGGCCTATACTAAAAGTAAAGGACAATATGGAGTCCAAACTTTATTAGGTGTATTTTAAAAATAATATAAAATCGTAACAAGAGGGACAGTAAGAAAACAAACCAAGAAACAGCTTGTAGAGCCAGAAAAAATATAGTTGTTTTGTCTGTATAAATATCAAGTACTACACTGTTCTGTTTCTAGCCATCCACACTCAACCATCTTGCTTCATGTTGCTTTATATTTTTATTAGCAAAGGAAATACTTATAAGCTTGGTCTTGGAGTAATGCCTACCTAAATAAACAATGTTATGCCCAATGTTATGTTGAGAAACAACATCAAGGCCGGCTATGTTGTCACAAAACAAATTCCAAAATCCATACTGAACTGATACCTTTATTAGACAAGCCAAGAAGCCATTGTAACTGTGAGACAACACACAAATAATTCAAAGTTCCAGAGAATTTTGCTGTCTTTGATGAGCAGCATTTCATTGCAAAAAAGGTTCCAGTGTCTAATGATATCGCTTGGCTAAAGGCTGTCAAAAACCAGAAAACATGTTGATGGACACCTCTGAGACTAAGGCATAATTTGTTACACTCTGGAACGCAGCACAAAAGGAAGAATCTGAATGAATGGGGATAGTGCCAAAGGAATATTGGAGGGTGGTAGAAAAAATAATAAGGATAGAAAACAAAGCTGTGTTATTCTTCTCCAGTATCTGTTTGGTTCTGCATTACAAAATCCATAAAGAGATCACGGCAGTATGGATTTTGGGATTTAACGCATTGGTTGAGGCTAAGTTCAAAGAGTCTTGGGATATTCTGCTTTCCAAACTGGCTTTATCGTGGCATTTCAGTATCATGGGTTTTGAACTGCAGAAAGCAAGATATAACCACAAAAAAAACAAATGCAATATTTCTTCCTCCATAGATTTAACGTGCAGACGGGATTTTTTGTTTAAAAAGCGGAGGAGGCTTTTGCAATTTATGTAGGTATGCCAGGAATGACGCCATTCCTCAACATTTGGGGCTCCTCATTTCCTCCTCTCGCCCCCCCACCCGCACCCCAACGCCTTTTGAAAAGAGTCGCGACAACTCGGATGCTTCTTTTCTTTTCAGACGAGAAAGAAAAGACCGACGCCCGGCAGCTTCTGTCAAGCAATTCCCTAACCGCGGGGCGCGGGTGGCGGGGAGGCGGGCGGACAGGCGAGCCGAGAAACCCTCCGAGGAAGCAGCTGCCGCAGGGCGGAGGGGGGGGCAGCGGTGGCGGCGAGAGGCGAGAGCCGGGGGCGGCGGCGGGGAAGGGGGGCTGGGTGCCGAGACAAAAGGGCCCACGCTGAGGGGCGGTGATGCTTACCGTGGGGCTGAGCCAAGCCGGACAGCAGGACGGCGACAAGCGCCCCCGCCAGGTAGGAGGCCGAGTGGCCCCACGGCCCGGACCCCACCATTCCCCCCCTCGGCCTCGGCCGCCTGCTTGCTTGCTTGCCGCTCGCTGGAAGAGGAGGGACGAGGCCAGTGCTGGCTAGCCGCCCTCCCGGAGGAGGCGGAGGAGGTGGCGGCGGCGACGCCGGCGGCTTCCTGCCCCCCACCCGCCCCAATATTAGGAAGGAAACTGCGGAAG